GGGGAGGGGTTTGTAGGAGCGGTTTGAGTGGTGAGGATGGGGACAGAGGGACCCATGAAAACAAAACCACGGCATATGAGACGAAATGTCTTCGCAAAAAAACCCCCAACAACTTCACATCACAAGAAGAGACAGGCAGCACAATGAAGAAGTAAGAGCGACTATTATTGGAACTGAGTTCTTCTTGCATTTCATAAAAAGGGGAAAAAAGCAAACAACAACAACAACAACAACAACAACAACAACAACAACAACAACAACAAAACCAAAATAAAATGGTTCGGCCGCCTGTTACGAATGTTACCTTGACAGCCAGCTTTGAGAGCCTATACCACCGAGTACTCAGTACTCAGGCTACAAAGGACGAGGTAGGGCACGCAAGAAATGGATTGAGGGAGACAAGAGAACCCTGAAAAATCATAATATCTCAACTGAAAGAGCTGCAGAGCTGGTCTACCACAGAAAACTACATATCCCCTCAACGCTTAAAGACGCCGGAGGATGGAAAAGTAAACTAAGCAAGAAGGGCGAGGGGTTGTTTAGGATGGATGGCTGGAAAGGGGAGGGGGTGGTGCTAACTCAACTATATTGACTCCAGTGTTCTGTCCTTCCTTTCGGGCGTAATGGTGCAACCCATCCATGTTGCTAACGCTTAGCAGCGAAGGTTTTTTCTATTTAAAAAAACATTCTTTCTTATTTAGATATATAAGATTTTAAAAGAGAGCAAAGAGTAGCGGCCATGACAGTGCGCGTTCTAAACTAGGAATATACATGTAAGTCTATGGCGGTCATGACAATGCGCTTTCTACTTCAAGGATTAGGAATACAAGTCTATGGATTGAGAACACCGTATAATATAAACTTTCTAATGCTCACTCCCGCTGTAATAGTCGTTCATGTAGGTGCCCACCAGATCCCAGCTTCCACTAGGTGTGTAATACACGGTCTGGACAGGGTTCTTGGGGTCAGGGTTCAACACCAGGTCCAGTGTTGGAAACGGAGGGAAGTTCACCACGATTCTGAGGAGAGAAAGAGAAAGGAAGAGAGAAGACAAATACAATCTTTATTAGAATATGATGTTCTGTTATTTGTAAATTATTTTCATTGCATAGGTCGAAATAAACAAAGAGAAGGAATCGATGTATCTCTCTCTCTCTCTCTCTCTCTCCATCT